AGAAAGAAAGAAAGAAAGAAAGAAAAAATAATAACTTTACTAACATCCAAATTCTGTCACTCATTTTATGCTGGACACCAGACCAGTCAGCAGTAATCCCAATAATCCAGATTATAATTTTCTTGGTTTTATACAAAACATTTTCTTAGAAACAAATTTTAAGTTTTATTAGTTGACACCATTATGTTGATGTTAGGAATTCTGGTAATATTCAATTTTATGTTTTTCGAGATTGGTTACAAAAACTAATCAAATGAAGATTTACGCATGTGCGTCTTGTAAATGCAGAGTTTTGTTTTTTTTTGCCTCCCAGCAAGTTGTTATTAAGCAATACTTCAGAGGGAAAAGTTTAAATACAGTTTGAAAAGATTAACTTGACAAGAATAGGTCTAGTGTGTGGCAGCAGTGCGTCCCCGGAGAGGAGCGGACTCACCATGAACCCCGGCGCATCCCGGACCTCCTGAGTGGGAACAGTGAGCAGCAGGATGCCAACCAGTCCGAACAACAGCAGCGCGATGGGGACGATGGGGAGAGAGGAGCGCTGAGCCATGGAGGAAAAGGAGGTAGCCGATAAAAAACCCTATGCCTTTAATAAATATGTGCGTTTACACCATACAGCGGAGTGCCACAAAGTGTCATACAGCTCCCCTCCCACGTCTCTTCACGCTTCACCTGCTGGCTTCCCTCCCTACAGCTGACCTTTTTTTAAAAGACTGTCTAGGATTAACGCTCAAAGTCCTGAGCGCAGCCAGGCCCAGCTCAGTGAACGGAAACGGCTCCAAGGATACTGGAACCAGCCACCCAGCAATGTCTTTATTCTGACATAAGCTGCAGGAAACAGACCTGCTGCTGCTTTACATTCAGCCGTTAAAGCTGTGGGTGGAGCTACTGTAGAGGTCTATATGCGCTTTGCTAATTGGTTGTTCTCATAATGGTATTCTGTTTGAGTGGAAACAAAATGTGGCATGATTTCTTTTTTTTTTTTTTTTTAAGTTATCTTAAAGTCAAAGGGAAATAAAAAAACCCAACAACTAATCAGTTTCTTATTGCAGCAAACCCCCTGCAAATACATGGGTGAGTAGGAACTTTAGAAACTGCTGCAAATTGAGGTTTATGTGGAAAAAATAGTGCAAGTGTACCATTAATGCTGGGGGAATTGTTAGGTTTCCAGTTTGTCCTCTCTCCACCACCAGGCGGTGCCATGTCCTCGTTGGGCCTCCCAGCACACCTGCGGCTCTTTGGGTAATTACCAGAGGAGTACTTGAGCAGCGGGCTGTCACCACCTCGACGTCAGAGTGTTTGCCAGTATTGAATACCCTAGCCAAACTGAGATTAGCAGAGTCTAACCTTAGCATTGTTTCTCTGAAGCCGAAACTGGTTTTTTTGTCTTTGTTCTTCAGCAGGAAGACTTCCCGTGTTACTGGATACACCTGGACCTTCTTACCCTGGAAGGATTAACTGAATCTCACTGAGCAAGGGGAAAACCTCCACATGATCCGTTCAAGTAGCCTCGTGAGACCATCCTGATCTCGCGAGCTTTCAAGGTTTCACTCGCAGATCAGTCTGGCTACTCTCCGTTAAA